AGAATTCTTCACCCAGCATGTTGGAGCCACCATATTGCTTGCCTTGGATGCAAGGGGTGCAAGTTTCAATGAGCACCTCCAACCAACATGCAGCAAGCTTGTAATAGCTTTTCATGTTAACCAAGCTTGTAGAAGCTAACCAAGCTTGTAGAAGCTAACCAACTTTGCCTGAAATGGGCTATAGACCTGCATGTGCAGCAGAGAAGCAAATGAAATCAAGATATTTCAGCAGCTTGAAGCTCTCTCCTCCAGCAAACCTGGAAACAAAGTCACCAATGCATTTGATGTAGGCCTTGCAAGGTGGAAAGCTGGAGGCTGCCTGCTGCACAGCTTTGTCCAAGTCTTTCTGCCCAGGAGCTTGTAGCTCATAGTGCTGCGCAATGGTCATGGCAACCTCCAATTCTGTAGGAGGCTTCACAATACCATGGTCACCTGTGGATGGTGCCATGCATACATTGAGAACTCCACACATGGTCACATTGCTTTGGTGGCCACAGCAAGGAGGTTTTCATAAAAAATGCACTTACCAACCAAGTGGCTGTTGTAGGCCTGCTGAAGCAAACCAGGAAGAGATGGACACTCTTCCTCAGCCTTGGCTGAAATAATTGTCCACTGCCATCCACTTTGCACCATCTCCTGTAGGTCGCCTCCTTGTGCCATGAGCTGCTCCATGGACAGCTGGTCATTGCCCATCCTGCAGCCACTTTCCAAGCACCTCAGGAATGCTGTCAAGTGGGAAGAACTCAGGCTGCAATACCGCTCTTCTCCAAAAGGTCTTGCCAACATGCCTGACCTTTGGTCAGCCAGTTTTTCATTTGCTGCAATCACTGCACTTCTCTTGTCCCCATCATGAGGCAGTTCAATTGCCACAGATTGCCGAACCTTGTTCAAGTCCCACCCAACAGCTGAGATCTGCTGGCCTTTGGCTACCACATCATGGGGGTTAACCATTTGACCACCCCGGTTGGCAACATGAACCAGGATCTGATTGGGCCTCAGCTTGGCATTGTAAGCCAAGCCTGCACTCTTGAGCACATTCATAGCTCTTGAGGCTTTCTGGTTAATCTGCATCTCCTCATCTTTGATGATCTTCTTCAACTCATCCACCCATGGGAGCGACATGGGCAAGCAAGTAAATCACTTTCCAAGTGGCATGCAAATTTTGCACACATGGCCCATGCATTGTCCAACATTGCCCTTCCATGTTTTCATGCGCACTTGTTCTGCTGGTTCATAGCACATGTGGCAAAATGCCTTCAGCTTGTGCCATGACCCTGATATGGTGAGCAAGCTTATACAACAATTACACAAAGTTAGTTGCAAATTGAGCCTGCAGTGGCTGGCAACCCAAAGTGAGCCTATACTGGCAACAAGCAGCCTCAAGCTTGTACAAGCTGTTTCTTCAAGTTGAGCATTCATATGCTGTGCGCAACACAAAGGTATACATCAAACAAAGGCAACACAAGTTTCAAAAAAAACATCCTACATATTTGAAAAACAGTCCTTGAAAAATTGTTTTACAACGTTGCACAATTGCCATAACAAGACAAATCAAAAAAGCTAAATGTTTACTAACTCGTATAATTTTTTATGTTTGTTACAGATGTTAACATAACAGTTAAAAAGAAATAGATAATGTTGTTAACAAATAGACATGTTATAATAGTGTTATGACACTTATAAGTAGTTATAAATAGTTATAACTGTCTTGTAAGTCCTTATGAAACACTTAGCAATGGTTGTAACATGTGTAACGCATTAGCAAAACCAGCAGCTTCAAAGTGTTTCCTCCTCATGCTCTACCAACCCAGCCTTGGCTTCCTGATGGCGCCGCACTACCTCAATTCCCTCCGCCCTATGGTCCGGCCGCACCCTCATCCAGGACTTCATCGCCTTCCTAGGTCTCACCTGGGGCCACCTGACGCCCTACTTCCTTCAGTTTTTCGGCGTGTTTCCGATCGAAAACAAGCGGTTTCAAATTTTGCTGCGGTTTGTTTTGCTCAATGTGATTGTCACTCTTTCTGCCCGTCTTTCCCTGATTTTCTCACATTTTCCAACCTGCGCAGCCTTTTGTTTTCGGATTTCAACTTCGCCCCACATCGAGCCTCTTCCTGATCTTCATGGATCCTCCTCCTACGGGTCTTTTGGCGGGTTCTATGGCTCCACCACCACGTGAAGCTGTCTTCAATCCCTACCGCCTACCAGTCAGTCCGCCTCCTGGCAATATCCGCCCTCAGCCACATCGACAACCTGAACTTCTATGGCTTCATTGGATGGTTTGCCTTGCGGCATGGACAACTGAAGCCCTGTGCGCTCACCCAATTATGGCTCAAGAAGTTCCACCTGATCA